ATGACCGATGGAATGGTCGGTGCAGAGCTTGCAAACATAATTGAAGTTGCTGCCATTAACATGATGCGTGATGGCAGAACTGAGGTGCGTGTTATTTATATCTCATTGAGATTTCTATTCTCTTCCTGATATTTACTCTATTTTAAGATATTGCTCATCTGTGATATGTTCTGGAGATGTGGCCTGATAGAAGGATTTCTGTAAAGGATCACCTCCATTTGCATCCAAATATGAGATAAACTTGTTGGAAATAAAAGTTCATATGCCGTCATTGGCAATATTGCTTGGATTAGATGATGCTATTATTGTTTTCAACTTCTTTTACCACTTCTGGTGCCGTTTTTTCTTTTACTATCACTTCTGATGACTTGATAAACAAGTTTTCCTCTTTGGGTGCTTTAACATGCTGTTGTCCAATTGTATTGGTCAAGTATATTTCAAAGGGGTCTGTATACAAGCAGACAGGTTGGTGTAATATTTTTCCTTGTTACCCTTGCGCTTATCAATCTGCTTTTGAAGAATTTTCTTGCAAGTGCAGATTACCACTGATGACTTGTTACAAGCTGCACAAATAGAAGAGAGAGGAATGCTCGATAGAAAAGACAGAAGCACTGAGACTTGGAAGCAAGTAGCTATCAATGAAGCTGCCATGGCTGTTGTGGCCGTGAACTTTCCAGATCTCAGGAATATCGAATTTGTATGTCCTTGAAATTATCTCATTTTTCCTTTGAGGTAGTTCTTTGTTGTTACTTCTCTTTCTAGATCATTGTTATTAACTAAGAATGTTTTGATCATATGATATGAAGTCCAATTCTTTATTAATTATGCTTATACAAGGTCTAACAAGGTGTTGTATCATTGCTCCCTAAATCATTGTTGTAAACTTGTAATTACACTCATGATAATTGCTCTGTGTTTCCACTTGGAGCAGGTGACAATATCTCCTCGAGCTGGTAGAGAACTTGGTTACGTTCGGCTGAAAATGGATCATCTCAAATTTAGAGAAGGGATGCTCAGGTGAATATATTTCTACAAACTGGTTTCAGATATCTTACTAATTACCATCCTATCAGGCTAGAGAGATATGTTAGTATAGCGTGACAAGCATAGGAGATTATGTGAATGAATGAATGAATTCTATTTTTAGTTAGTCATTAGAATGTAATTTTGATGGATTCCGCCATGGTCTCCAATGCAGTCGCCAATCCCTACTGGATCATATCACTGTGCAATTAGCACCACGAGCAGCTGATGAGTTATGGTATGGCGAGGGTCAGGTAAAATCATTTGTTACCCATGTTTTGCTATCATTGATGGTTTGGTGCCTTTGAATAGTATTATTGGCATCTTTTCATCATATGGAATTTTATCAATGTAGCTGATGATAAGAACCCGTTTTTATTTCCTTTAAAGATGGTGTCAGGAATCGCACACAAAATGGTCTACATTTCTGAACTTCTCTATGAGAATATCTTGCTCAGGACATCTTATTGCTTATTTAGAAAAGATAACAATCTGGGCTGTTGAATACAGTTCTCATTCTGATATCTGATAATGATGAGTTAATATAGTGTGGTGCATGTGGATATCATTGTCAACAATGAAATGCCTAAAGTTGCATTGAATCATTTCCAGTTAAGTACGATATGGGCCGAAACAGCAGACAATGCAAGGTCGGCAGCAAGAACCTATGTTCTTGGGGGGCTTTCAGAGAAGCATTATGGGGTATCTGACTTCTGGGTTGCAGACCGGATAAATGTATGCATATGCACACTTGTCTCTACTCCTCGCCAGCTCTGCGATTTTTGATGCATGTTGTGATTGTGGATCTGTTAAAATTGCAGGAAATAGATTTAGAGGCCTTGCGGATATTGAACATGTGCTACGATCGTGCAAAAGAGGTAATTAATTTCTCAGCAAGCAAAAACACCTGCAAATTGTCCCACCTACCTGGTAACAAATCTTCTGTGGTTCTCTTTCATTCTGCATCATCAGATCCTGAATGAGAACCGAAAGCTGATGGATGCAATCGTGGATCAACTTGTCAACAAGAAAAGCTTGTCAAAGCAAGAGTTCACCAACCTAGTTGAGTTGCATGGCTCCGTCAGACCTTTGCCACCAAGCATACTTGACCTTAGAGCTGTCAAGCGTGCCGAGTTCCAAAGACTCTTGATGAGCCAGAACAAAACACAAGTAGACATCAACGTCTGAGACCGGTCCCCATCCAATACGAATGCTCGACCGCTTAACCAAAGACAGATTAGTCTTTACTAACTGATGCAACTGCTACAGTCAATTGAGCATTAGGATACCTTTCTAGGCTCTGTTCGGTTCATATAAATTCATCATTTCCCATTTTACCATGTAGCTTAACTTGCAAACCTTTTTTGGTCCCTTTATTCTCTGTGAAAGCGAACAGATTCGCAGAACCAACTTACACAAATTAATCCACTCTCAGCTTAACTTGAAACTTGAATCTCGTTGTCCGTGTCAGCAATTACCTTAAACTGCAGGTTGTTTCCAGAAAGATGGAGCCATCACATATTCTGAGCTAAAGCAGCATTAGTCACTGGTAATAACCCACGACTACGAATAAAAGAGGCAAGGGCGGTTATTGACTCGTACGTTTGTTTGAAAAAGTCAGCCTCGTTCAATTTACTTGTGAAAGAAACAAACACACGTTCTCTCTCAAAAACAAAACATAACTTCCATTTTAACCGCCAAAACCCCCCCCGGCTCCATGCCTTCCCTCCAAAGAAGCCACGTTCTCTCTCTGAGTCTGAACCACAACTGCTATTCTCCCACAGTATAAAACCCCAACTCCATCAACCCAATTACCATTTTTCCTCCCTCGCCAAAAAGCTTCCAACTTTCTCAGAGATCAACCCCCAAAGTTCTCAGCACTTTCATCAACACAAAAATGAAGAACCAAGCATTGTCTCACTGCTTCATCATCCTGGCAGCAGCAGCCATGGTGATGATCAGCCACTCAGCAGCAAGGGTGTTCAAGGTTGGTGATGATTTCGGGTGGCAAGAACCAACCAACAACTCTCAGCTCTACACTCAGTGGGCCACCACCAACAGATTCCAAGTTGGAGATTCCCTCTGTAAGTTTGCGTAGCTACAAAAACTATCTTTTCATTCTTCCAGTTTCCCTTCTATCCTTGTGATTCTGTTTGCGCCTTTCTATGCAGTGTTTGAGTACAAGAACGACGATTCAGTAGCACAAGTGGACAAATGGGGGTACTACCACTGCAACACGAGCACAGCAACAGCGGTTTTCGACAACGGGAGGAGCAGTTTCAAGCTGGAGCAGCCGGGGCCTTTCTACTTCATTAGTGGAAACTTCAACCACTGCAACAATGGGCAGTTACTTGTTGTTGAAGTAATGTCGATGCACCATCCGCATCATCCATCCATTTCGCCTCAGCCTGCCTATGCTTATCCACCAGAACCAGAAGGACCTTCTTCTTCTGCTTCTTCTTCCATGGTGCCATCATCATCTGAATCTCATCAGCCGAATTCCGCAGTGTTGGTGTCGGTTATCGTCAGCTCTGTCACTGTTGTTCTCATTGCCACATTTGTTGCCCTGTTTTCCTGTGCACCATGAAACCACCCTAATTTCTCTTGTTGGGAATTCTCTCTGTACTTTGGTTTTTGTTTGGTTTTCTATAGTGTCAGTCGGATTCTAGTTGTTGATCGTCATTTATAGTTTGGTTGATCCTTAGTTTGGACATTGGCTTATGTTATAGTTTATATAGGAGTTTGAGATTCTTGGAGGAGAACACTAGAGTTGTTTTTGTTCAATCAATATTTAGTTTTCCTCTTGTTGCTGGTCTATCTCCTTTCTGCGACAAATAATAGAAATATTCTCCAAATCATTATCAATTTTTGTTGTATAAAAATCCATTTAAACTCTGAAAACCTACCAATCGTCACTTTTTCCACTTCTAGAAGGATTTTAACATAGTGGGAGCCCAAAAAAACAGGGGAATTTCCTCCAAAGCATTCATGGAGAATTGGAGATGCATCCTACATCGTTCCACCGCCTCGCCACTGATTGGTGAAACTGTGTTCCGTCTGGCTGCAATGTTTAACAGACACAACATTCAAGTTCCTCGCTGCTGCTTTCAGTCTGTTTCACTGACCTGGCCAGTTTGGGAACACATTTGTACACGTTAGAATCTCTGGTGGAAGAGACACTTTTGGGGTAGAAAAGTCCGGCCAGAAATACTTTGTGCTTCTTCTTGTACATGGTGACTGAACCTAAAACTCCTCTCCTTTGGCTTGCAGCGAGCAGGATTCATCATCAATGAAACAAGAGTGAAGATTAACCAACAGAATGCCAGAGGACTAACAACACTTGACATGCATGGTAGTAAACAAAGCCGAAAAGAGTGTAGAGCTCAGCAGGCCTGAGAGAAGTGTTGGCAAGATCTTGCCCCGGAGATGCATTGGAGTACGAATATGGCCGAATCATAGCCCATAACCAGACTATTACTCAGTTGAGATCGATGGTAGGGAGCACAACAGTGTTCAGGATTTTCCAGATAAGCAACAACATTGCCCTGTTCACATCTCTGGGGATCGTCGTGGTTCTGATCACTGATGAAGCTTCTCAGATTCGCCGACAAGGTGTTGTGGCTGCACTGATGCAGTGTCATTCATGGCTGTAGCTTGCGTTGCAGGGACGTGCGTGATTATGCCACATGGACGAGATGGGAGCTGGGAATTTGAAGCTTCTGTGGCCATTTGTGGTGCTGGTTTGGGGACTGATTACCTTTGGCTTGAAGTCGTTTTGGTGAAGCATTGGTTGAGGAAGACAAAGTGGACCGAAGAAGAAGAAAAGAGAAGAGAAGGGGAGTGTAATGAAAGGGTGATATAATAAGGAGTCTATCTTCCAAGTCTGATGTCCACAGTTTTCTGCTTCTGGTTACCATGCACATTGATTGTTCAGCTCGTTGCACCATATTAAAAGGTGTTGCTTACTTCGGTTCGTGTTACTTTATGAGCATTTATGAGTCTACTCAATCGGGACGGGAAGCATGCGATTGAACATTAAACAACACCCTTCATTCCGCGAATCTTGTTGAATGTGCTTCACGTAAAAACTTAACAAGGGAACCCAGAAGTCATTTGCAGAACATATTCTCATTTCACTTGCCAATACAGTGATACATAGTGCAGCCTGATAATCCAGCCAACTAGTTTCCCAAGAAAAGTTGACAAATACTAATCTCACTACACAAGATAAGAGCATCTGGCAATCTCTGCCGAACGTTTAATGGAGCAAATCCGACCCTTAGATTCTTATATTGCCGCACAAGGTATGTCAATTCCATGCACCAGATACGTTTCATCTGCAAAATTTTATCCACAAAGACGGATTTTCAACAAACATCGATTAGAAGTTAATTGAGTTCTGCAGTTCATCAGACAACAAAAGAGAAGTGTGTACCATGCGATCAGAGACTAATGGTTTCCTTCGGGAGCTGGGGGATTAACATTGTTGTAACTATCAAAACCACCACTTGAGGGTGCTTGGGTATGTGGCTGATAATTAGGAGGTGGAGCCAATGATGGTGGTGGACCTTGAGCAGTTGGCATGGGCATGGTGCTCCCAGGTACACTTGCTGGAACCATACCTGGAGGTGGCGGCCTTGGTGCACCATTTACTTGACCGGGTAAGGAAGGAGCACCAGGTGGTGCCATCATTGGAGGCATTCCTGGAACAGACATGTAACCTATCCATCACCACAAGGAAAAATGTTCAGTGTCGTAGACTTCAATTTGCCACATGATACATCATCAAATAAAAGCAACACATATTTAGAAATTCCGTTGAGGACACATAGCAAAAAACAGAGGCCAGATAGCCCCTAAATCAGTCTGAGAATTTCACCAACCAATAGCTGAAGCTATGAAAAAGGGTCCACCAGATACCAGTACAAGAATGTTTGTCATATTCACAGACCACTAGAGCTCATTCCTGATTGAATAATATCATGTCATAATCACATTCTATTAACATCACAACCAAATCTCCTGTCGATAAATTCATGGTCTGATCATACAATAATTGGAGAAAGCTAACTGTGAAAGCGTAACAATGACGAGAACTTGGCAAGTACTTAGAAATATATACTTCACCAAGTCATACCAAGCAACAATAAGAAGTAAATCGTCATATTGGACAAACTCAGACATATGCGGGAGAGTGATGGAGAGAGTTCATGGCAATCTATTCAAACCATGCGAATTTCACTTAAAAATCAGGAAAATGTAATCAGGGACAGGAGGTACCCATAAGCGCTCCATAACAAAGTTTTGGAGCTTATTACCTGGAGCACCAGGCGGTGGCATGCCAGGTCTAGGCAAAAGTGGAGGCCTCATTCCGGGCATTAGCTGTGCACCAGGAAGTAGGTTTGGGTTCCCAGGAATGGGCATAATAGGCGTCGGCAAAATGGGAAGACGAGGCCTTTGAGCCATGAGATGCTGATTGTATGCACCACCTACCTGTTGGAATGCTGCAGTTTGCCCAAGATGTTCCTTAATCCGCTGGTCAATTAAACTCTGGGTTTGCTGCTCCTCAAACTGCTGGTAGTAGATTCTAACATTCGCCTATATGGGAACCCAAGGGTCAAAGCCAAAACTAATTAGTACTACAGAATTGCTATCGAAAAGCCAATTCAGGGATAACACAAACACAGAACACCAGAAGTACCTTGTGCTTGTAACCCGCATTGTGCTGCTTTCTAACAGAAGGCTGAAACAAAACAAAAAATGGCAGGACATTCAATCATTCTCAAGATTCAAAACCCTAAACCTAAGCAGCTATCGTAGAGAAGCAGAGGAAGAAGAGACTTACAGAATCGTGCGTCAAATAAGTATCGCAGTAGTCACAGTAATACCTGAAGGAAACAACAAATCAAAACAAAGTTAAAAGAGCCAGAATGAATCATGGTAAGAAAAGAAAAGAAAAAAAAAGGTGGAAGGAGGGAGAGGAGATCTTACCGAGGCATCGTTCTGTTCCAGCTCGATCTGGATTCCGACACCTCAGAGTTCGGTCGGCACCGGAGAATCAAACAGGAAAAGCCTAGGTCGTACGGTGGCGCCGGCAGCGGAAGTCCAGGACGGTGATGTCAAAATGCGGTTCCAACGACGAGTAGGAGTAACGGAAGCTGAAGGGGGCAGCTAAAGTCGATTGCTGAAAAATCGAGAACCAAATTGTCACTTCATCATGGTTGTCACGCCGGCCGGCGTGCCACCGGTTGTACCGGGTTCAACCGGTACCGGTCATAAAACCGACGTGATACCACCAGTATGACCGGCATGATCGATATACGAATCTCTAAGTAAAATGACTTTATTTTAGAGAATTTAATTGATAAAAATTATTTTATTATTTATTTTATGAGTAAAAAAATTAAATATTGATGTTATTTGTTGGATTCAAGTATAAATGCTTAGGTATTGACGTTAAATGTCATGTTTAAATATGAGTATTTATAATTTTAATAGTAATATTGACCGGCATGAACCGGCACAAACCGGTATGTGCCACCGGTTGAACCATTCCACTTGCTAAACCGGCACACTGGCATAAACCGGTTTGACAACCTTGCACTTCATTAATTGATTCTACATTTCCTATTCAAAAATTGGTTTGGTATCAAAGTCTTCAAAAAGGATTCCAACTAAACAAAATTCATAGGATATATTGCTTTAGAGAATAATTCAATTATTAGAAAACATAATAATAATTAAAAATATTTATAATGATTGTTGATTCTAAATTTTCTATTCAAAAATTAGTTTGGTATCAAGTCTTCAAAAGAGGATACCAACTAAATAATAAAAATTGATGTTTTTCATAAGTCAAAATGATTTTTTACAATAAGAAAAGTAGAAGGATCAATTAAGAAATTTAGAAAACAAAATATTTCAAGAATATTCTATTAACTTTAACGGAATACACCTAACATTAAACTTAAGTGGTATCGGGTGCACAAATAATAGAATTCAGTGGTACCCAACGCCCTATTCAAACTTAAGTGGGATGTCTGCCCCAATTCTCAAACTTAAGTGGTACCCAAGATATTTTACCCATTGTTTTTTGGCAAAATACATATTTGTAGTCAGAAGATATATATACAAAATAAAATGGTCAATTTTGTCCAATTTTTCAACAATGTTATCTAAAAGGCTGATTTGACTAACTTTTTTATTGATGTAGAGTTTTTTCATTAACTTGCTTGTTCTTTTATTCTAATTAAATTAAGGACTAATACCACTGGAAATACCAACCTTTAGCGAAAGTGTCATTTATAATACGTAACTTCAATAAACACAAAAATATTCCAACCTATTAGGTATTTGTGTCATTTGTATTACGCAAATTTGTGTTGACCGTTAGAATTGACGGTTGACCTAACAGAAGCCAAAACATGTTTGACTCTTAATAACATGGCACCATTTATCATCCACCTAAGCGCCACATCATCTCTTTCTCCCTCCCTCTCTTTCTCTCTCTCTCTCTCTCTCTCTCTCTCTCTCTCTCTCTCTCTCTCCCCACAGTCGCCGACGACCACTATAGAGGAAGCTCCTCACTTGAATTAGCCCACCCCCACCCCTTACAATTACCAGAATAATCACCCTACCTCAAATTAACCATTTCCCTCAAATTAACCCACCCAATGCGACAAACCCTCCTCCTCTCCACCATTCGACACAGCCGACGGCGACCTGGAGCAGAGTAGCAGTCCCAATCGTGAGGGTTTTTTGTCAGTTGTAGGCTTCATTCGACAAAGAATGCCCCTGGTCGCTTCTCTTAGCTAAATGAAATCGCGAGAGTTTCTGGTGCTCCCCACAAATCCAAGCAAACGAGATCCACGTAGTTCCACCATCGTCCTTTTTTGGATTCATGAGGTAGATGATTCTGGGTTCTTGAAGAAGAATGAAGTAGCCGCCTTAACTTATTCTTCTTCCCAACAATCAATTTTGCTTCCTTCTTGGCCGAATTCGAAAGAATCAATCAATTCTGTCTCTCAAACTCAATTTTGAATCCAAATTGTGAATTGATTCACAGTTGTGTGATAATTGGCTTTAATATGTCTGATTCTTGAACTGTATGTGATTATCCCTTGGTATGTCTAAGCCGATTGGTGCTATTTTAGGGCTCCCTAACCCGAGAATGGTTGAAAAACCATTACTGCCTAGTGTCATGAGTTTGATGTATTACAGGTGAAGAAAACACGAAAAAGAAGTTGCACCGACAAACAATTCTCGAATCACTGGCTAAATAGCACGTGGGCCTGGATGGAGCAGCTGGAGGGAGATTAATGACACGGGCGGGTGATTTTTATTGGGCCTGGGGACGTAATTTGGAAGAAAGGAGGAGCTGGGACTTTGGACGCAAGGGGACTATTTTGGAGAAGGAATCTTTTGGGCCGACAATTAATTGAACAAGAAGAATTACTAGGGCCGAAGGTTTTGGCTGGGAATCAACAGTATAATTTATAGCTGAAAAGTAAAACTGCAACCCCCATTCAAAATTTCCTGCCCATATAGTGATTTTAGGAAGCTGATGTGGCAGAGTGTTAAGCGGGAAAAAAAGAGTCCCGCCTGATTTCAGAACCAAAAAACTCTCCACTACCCACTTTTTTCTCCTTCCAGGCCCACGTTCTCATTTAATTTGTATAAAAAACTCTCCACTACCCACTTTTTTCTCCTTCCAGGCCCACGTTCTCATTTAATTTGTATTAATTTGTATTTTTTATTTCCGATTTCCCTTCCTTCTACTCTTTCACCTCATTCGAATAAGTTTCTTGGCCTTCAGAAAACCAAACCTTGACTCAATCATCTGGTTCTTTTATGTGCTTGCATCTACCTTTGATTTCTGTTCTCTAAGCGTTAGATCGGTATTGGTTTTGCCGTAAGTTATTCTTCCTCTTTCAGATTTCTGTTTGTTGTTGTCGCTGCTTTTAAGTTTTAGGGATTCGGGTTCTGGGTTTTTTTTTCAGGGATTCGATTGCAAAGATTCATCTCCCTTACCTTTGGTTCATTCCGTTTTCTTTATTCTCTCTTACCTTCCTCGCTTCATTCTGTTGATTGGATTCTCTAGAGATCAAAAGGGGATTTTTGATTTTTCCCTTTCTCTTGAAAGTAACAAAGCTGCTTACTTTAAATTCCACTTCGCTTAGACTGTCTTCCAGAGAGCAGCCGACTGCCGATTTTGAGCTGAGTTTTTCCGGGCCGCAGAGAAAGAAGAGGAAAGAAAGAGACATTCGGTGGCGGCAGCCAGGTACTTCGTCCGGGTCATTTTCCGGGTCAGTAAACCGAAGGGCCGGCTATAAACTACCGCTGGCCTGGCGGGGGAAAAGGAAAGCGTAAACCATAAGGCCTCGGGGATCCATTTCTCTCGCCAGCCCATACTTCAGAGGCCCAGCCTACTTGAGTCCAGAACCAGCCCATCGCCGACGAAATTTGGCACGCCGTCCCCCACCCGCCACCACGTATGAGACATAATCAATTTACTTTCTTATGTTAACTCTGTTGCAGGTAAATGTCGAAATCCAACTTGATCAGTAAGGTTTTCTCTCATATGTTTCTAGGTTAATTAATCTAATGGGACTGACTATGATCTGATAATGTACTTTCAGCTCTAATCACTAAAGAAGTATAAAGTAGGCGGTATTGATAAGCATGCTCCACTGGTTAGTGTATTGGTTCTACCAGGCTTTTTTCCCGTTATTACATAAGATCATTGGACAGTTTTATCTCACTCCATTAGTTTGTTTTATTGTTCTTCAACTTCATTTGCATTGTATTTGTATTGTGACATTAGAGTTGGAATCCATTTGTGCTAAAAGTACAAAGCGTAAACTGCATAATTGAAAGAAGGGATAAGCTTGGTATAGTTAGAAGAACTAGAATTGGTAAGCACTTATAGTGCTTTTCTTATTGCCAGCTTGCTTCTTTTTCAAACTTCTCTTTGGATATGGTTTTTATGGATGACTTTTAATTATATTTGTGTTGGCCATTACATTGTTGTCCTTCTCGCTCTTCCTTTGCATCCCCAAGCTTGGAAGCCATTCTGTTATATGTGTTTTGTTCATCAATTTAAATTATGCCTTATATAGTTATATTTTTCTTCGACTGTTATGTTTGTGTGGTGTGTTGTATGTGTCATTAACTCGCACAAACTTATAATTGGTGAGGAGTTCAACTTCTGTTGTAACAATTAATTAATTTATATGAATGGCAGCTGCAAAATTTACTGGAACGGGTGCATCATTTACCACGACCTCTATTTCAGATTGCATCAGGTTATTGGAGAATTTAATATGGATAGTGCAAATGTCATCCCATCTGCCCAACCACAGATTTATCGATCGTCTGTACCATGTGAGTGTCATGGTTTAGCACGCAACTGCTTCAATGCAAACTGACATTAATATTTTCCCTTGAATCTCATTTGTTTAGGGAAACGTCGAGCAGTGTTTATTCATCCTGAAGATCAGTACCAACGCTGTGTTTTATCTGCTGAAGAGGAAGAAGCATTTGAGAGAGGTGTGTTATCTGTGTTTTAATTTTTCTAATTAGTTCATCTATTCAATGAGTAATACATGGTTTTATATTTAAATTCTGCAGAAGAAGCTGCCTTACAATTCCAACTCTCTCAACTTCGGCGAATACTATCCCAAGTCGCCCGTAAGAGAAGACATCATATTTTGAAACAGAAGGTTCATAGGAGGGGCTTGCCTTTTGAACACCAAGGTTGTTGTTTGCTAAATTTGTAGCAAGTCTTACAAATTAGGCTATTCTAGATTGTTGAATCTTTATTTATTTCTTTAATATCGTATGTGTTTTGGTGTTGTTCATAGTTTTGGAGCCGGAGTTTAGATTTCTATTACAAAAGCAAAGTCGATTACTTCGACGTATTCATCTGCATAGAAAGAGACGTGGCCGAAGTTTCTTTCCTACAGAAGTCAATCAAAGTATGTGGATTCTAATGGCCACTATTATACATGAAATGGTTCATCTCTATTTTGGTTTAGTTTTTGTACATTGGATATATGTTTTTGTGTTCTGGTCAACATATTTTGTTTCCTATTTTGGTTTTAGAACATATAATGTACCCATTTATGCCATGCATATAATTTAGTGATGTACGCTTCATGTCACCTTATGCAAATAGTGGATTGTTTTTAGATGTTGATGTGTCAACGGCAAATTTGTGTGTTATGAACAAACTTTGGTGTTTCCTGAAATTTGACTTATTCTTACTTAAAATGAGCGGTATACCAATCTATCTTGCCTTGAGAACATTTATTTTAATAATTGTGTTTACTGTAGCGCGCCTAAATCGGCTTCACAGTTTCTCAATCTCATTCAATTTATGAATTACTGTGACAAAAATTTATTAATATTACTTATCTATTTCACTAGGTCTTCCGTTGGTTGAATTTTTTGATAT